AGCACCCTCAACCATCATGCCACCTGCTGACTCCTGTAAAACTATTTTCTTAAAAGGCTATGTGTCTTGGGAACCAGCAGTTAGCGGAATGGCTATGTCGCTGGACTCCCACGTAGTCGACCGTGATTCGCATCCCGGACCCGGTGGCTTAAAACTCACGCCGGGTGCGTGTGCATGTGTGCCCAAGATCCCGAGAGGAGAATGGAGGAGAAGGGATTGCGGCGTGACCATCCCCCCTGGGGGGTGATTTCTCGTTTTCTGTCTCTATGTCTCTCTTTGTCTGTCTGTCTGGCAAGCGCACGCACCCTATAGCGAAAAACCTCTCAAAAAAAAAAAAAAAGGCTATGTGTCTTTAAAATGTATAACACAGTTCTATGATAATGCAATGGAGATTTAAACACAAAATTTCAACTATATATGTATATTTTTGTTAAATAATAACTCTTACAATCAAAAACTATTATCTCTGAGATCTCCATTATATTCTTAGTATTTTAAGATTATTTTGATCCAATGCTCATTCTATGTGAGGAGTACAAGAAAAAGGGAAAAGAAATTGATAAGAGTGAAAGTGAAAGAAGAACAAAAATACCCCTGGATTTAAAAAAGAGATATTATTCTTTATTGTGAATCAGAAAATAAGAATCATAAAGATGAAGTTCAATACAGCAGTGAAAAAAGAAATAAAAACTGGAAAGTAGAAAGGAGGAGATAATGTCATAAGAATAATTTTCAGTTTCATTTATCTAACTACAGTTAATAAAAATCATGACAAAATTACTAAGTAATGTCATCATTTCTCATTCTAGGACCTTTTATTGCAACGGAATTATATTTTCATAGTAATCATGTCTTTTTTTCCTAACACCACTTCTTCTTACCTAATATTTTTTCTGACGGGTGTCCCAGGACTCGAAGTTGCTCATGCCTGGATCTCCATCCCTTTCTGCTGTCTCTACATAACTGCCCTCTCTGGGAATAGTATGATCCTATTTGTCATCATCACTGAATCAAGTCTCCATGAACCTATGTACTATTTCCTCTCTATGCTTTCAACCACTGACCTGGGCTTGTGTATTTCTACACTAGTGACTATGCTGGGCATATTCTGGTTCAATGCAAGACAGATCAGTTTCCATGCTTGTGTTGTCCAGACATTCTTCATTCAACTCTTCACTGTCATGGAGTCCTCGGTGCTCTTGGCGATGGCCTTCGACCGCTTCATTGCCATTTGTAACCCACTGAGATATGCTACGATCCTAACTGATTCTAGAATTGTCAAAGTGTGGTTTGCCATCCTTTTCAGGGGAACAGTGGTCCTTATGCCCCTGGTTCTGCTCCTTCAACGTCTATCCTTCTGCCAAAGCCATGTGCTCCACCATTCCTACTGTTTCCATCCGGATATTATCCAGCTGTCATGTTCTGACAATAAGATCAACAGCGTGTTAGGACTTACTGCCCTCATAGTTACTGCAGGAGTGGACTCCATCTTTATTCTTCTCTCTTATATCCTGATTATTAAGACTGTCCTCAGCATTGCTTCCCCAGAGGAACGGCACAAGGCCTTTAGCACTTGTATCTCCCACATAGGTGCCGTTGCTATTTTCTACATCCCTCTCATTAGCCTGTGCTTTGTTCATAGATTTGGAAAAAGAGCACCTCCTTATGTACACACTCTTAGGGCCAATGTGTATTTGCTTATCCCACCAGTGATGAATCCCATTATTTATAGTGTAAAAACCAAGCAGATTCGTATGGCCATTAAAAAAGTTCTCTTTCCCAAGAGAGCTGAGATCTGACTGGGATACCTGTGCAATAAAATCAACTTACTCCTTAGTTGTAATTTCCCAGATCTAGTGCTTAATTAGCTATAATCTCTTATCAGTAACTTTGAACTAAAAAAAAAAAAGGTGGAAATTTGAGTGGCAATTACCATTTAGTGGAAATTTATTCTTTATTTTTAATAGAACTATTATCAGTCTACAATTTCAAAATAAACAATGAAACTTCCTGACATTAGGTATAAGTTACTAAAACTTTGGAAACATGAATAATAATAGCTAAAATGAAAACTGCTCATGAAACCTACTCTCCAAAATGATACTTAAAACAATAACTCTTCTATCCTATTTTGTTTTAAGATATACTTAATAAAGAGTTATTGAGTGTTACTTAATTTTAACTTATACCTGTTATCTATTGTGTTTATACATTATTTCATCACTCTTGATTTATTCTTTCATTTACTGAATGTCTACTATTGTCAGACATTGTATAATATCATAGCATAGCAAAGATAACAAGATACCATCACAATTAATAAAATATGTAGATAAGAAAGTAATAAATCAAAATATGATTTACTATGTAAAATGCTGCAATATAAAGATATAAGTTAAAAGGATAATTAAAATATTTAGAAAGAGTATTTAATCCCACCTGAGATCAGGAAACCATTACAATGTGTCATTTGAACTATAAGGTCAAGAATTGGCGGGAACCAGCAGTTAGCGTAATGGCTATGTCGCTGGATTCCCACGTAGTCGACCGCGGTTCGTGTCCCGGACCCGGTGGCTTAAAACTCACGCCGGGCGCGTGTGCGTGCGTGCCCAAGATCCCGAGAGGAGAATGGAGGAGAAAGGATTGTGGCATGGCCATCCCCCCTGGGGGGTGATTTCTCGCTTTCTGTCTCTATGTCTCTCTCTGTCTGTCTGGCGAGCGCACGCGCCCTACAGTGAAAATCTCTCAAAAAAAAAAAAAGAATTGGAGAACCACTTCCAAAAATGGTACCAGAAGGACCTCTGAAGACACACTACTCAGGGAAACAACCAAAAACAATGATACACACACACACACATTTTTATTTAATAATATAGACATAAACATTTAAATTCTCTGGAAATTGCACCAAGAGAATACAGGAAATGAAAACAATTTTTTTTAATCTATTACATAATTTTAAGAAGAGTGAGACTCTGTGGCACTTGAACTATAGCCAGCTTCCACACCCTTCCCCACCCACAGCATATTAATAGCTTCACTCCTGGTAGGTGTAGCTAAAACAACAGAGCTTCCTCCAACTCCCCACCCCAGACCCTTACCCCTGGCCTCCACCCCAGACCCTTACCCCTGGCCTCCACCACCACCTTCCTTTCCCCCCCACCCCATATCTCCCTCAAGGCTCAGTTTAGACTACCAGTATTCCCTCACCTGATTCTGCCTCCACATTGCAGAAGTATCCTCCAGCAGAGTGTACTCAAGAGGTTAGTCTATCCCTTAGTCCACCCACCTCCACTCCTAGGACAGAGGCTCTGCTCCAAGTATGCAGTCAGAAAAAATACTGGGGTCTCATCACCCTTTTCTCAGTTCAATAATTAAATGAAGGATCTAGGCTGCAAGATACAAGCTGAAAAGGATGTGTGCTATAGGGCGGGTGCCACCATGCCCAAGGATGTGTGCTAGCCTACTTATTGCCCTGTTTATAGAACAAGAGTTTGACCTCAAGAACAGTGAGCCACACTAGAATTAAATTAAAAATCATTAACAGAAATTTGGAAATGTACAAATATGTGAAAATTAGATAATATGTTCCTAAATAATCAATGAGTCAAAAACATCCCAAAGGAATTAGAAAATGGTGTGAGATGAGTAAAAACAAAGACACCGCATACAGAAACTTGTGGAATGGAGATTAGGATTTTTGAGAGAACAATTTACAGCTATGAATGCCTATATTGAAAAGAAAGAAATATAAGAAATCAGTAATCTAAACTTCCATTTCAAGACACCAGGAGGCCCAACCACATAGCACAGTGCACTGGATGCTTCTTGGTAGGCAGCGGCCACAACGGGTTTGATTCTCCACTTACCCTAAAAATTCTAGACCAGTTGGCAGGCAATCTATAACCCCAGCAACTCAGGAGGCTGAGGCAAAAGGTGGGTTTACAGCCAGCATGATCAACCTGGAGAAACCCTGTTTGAAAGAGCACCAACGGTTGGTAGTACACACCTGTGGTCCCAGGTACTCAGGAGGCTGAGGCAGGAGGATCACAACAAAACATCATAGACACACACACACACACACACATACTTACCACACTCAAAGAAAAAAAGACACTTGGATAACAAAGGAGAGAGTAAAAATAAAGCAAAAAGATGAAAATAATAATTATTAGGGTGGAAATTAATAAAACATAGGATAGAAAATATATAAAATCAACAAAACCAAAGCTGGTCATCCATATAAACTCATCTATAAGTTTATATATTATGTATATAAACTCATTCTTATGCTCGTATGTCTCTTTCTGTGTGTGTGTGTGTGTGTGTGTGTGTGTGTGTATATATAGATATAGATATAGATATAGATATAGATATAGATATAGATATTCATTTTAAGCTTATGTATGTCAATATATATAGAGAGAGGCATACAACATTAACAATGAGTTTTTCCCCCAGAAATATATACAGCAAAAGTGATTTTTCTCTTTTTTTATAGTTTACTTTTTACTCATTCAATCACTGCCATTATAGCTTGTAAAATGAATTTTCCCAGCAAGAATACACTGAATATTAGTCCAGCTAAAGATATTATCATACACATTATCATCAACAGATAATTTTTCATTTTAGTGTCCCTTAAATGTTTTGCTTCTTTCTTTTTCCCCTTGACTTTCTTCCTCTCACCCTCCCCATTTCTCAGCCTCCTCCAACACTGTCTCTGGTACCCAAAATGGTTCTCCATGCAGTTTCTGCTGATTTTTAAAATATTGAATTAGCAATTTTAAAGTTTCCCAAGAAGGGGGACCAGCAGATTGCATAATGATTATATCACTGGACTCTCATGTAGTCAACCGTAGTTCAAGTCCTGGACCCAGCAGCTTAAAACTCACACCAGAACATGTGTGTGCATGCCCAAGATTCCGAGAAGAGAATGGGGAGAAGGGATTGTGACATGGTCATCTTCACTGGGAGTGATTTCTCTCTTTCTGTCTCCCTGTCCCTCTGGCAAGCACATGCTCCCTATACCAAAAATCTCTCAAAAACAAAAACAAAACTTTCCAAGAAGCAAAAGCCAGACCTGGATGACCAGTAAATTTCGTCAAATATTTCTATAACAATTAGTGCCATTTATGTTACCTAACTCAAACCAAATTCAATCACCAAAGCACCACAAACCAAACTGTAGACACCAGGTGTGATGAAGGAAAGTGCAGCTTTATTGCTATGTGCAAAGCAAGGAGAGCAGTCAGTTCATGCTGGCCTGCCAGAGTAGTTCTCTACATGCATTCATGAAAGCAAAATTAAGTGTAGGGGACCCAGGCACATGGTCAGTTCAAGGGTTTTCTTGATTGTCAGGGACTAATGTAATCTAATTCTATTCTCAAAGAGGGTAATTCATCAGGTTTCTCCAGCCATTAACCCTGGAGTCTATGTTCACAGCCTAAAGTTTCTGTCTATTATTGCTTGGAGAGCATGGGATCTGCTGTGAGTCCAGACAAATTTTATGGGGTTTTTTGTTTGTTTCTATTGCTGCTAAGAATGCCACTGGTAAATTGATAGGAATTGCATTGAACATGTAAATTACTTTGGGCAGTTATAGACATTTTAACAATATTGATGTTTTCAACCTGTGAACAGGGGATTTCTTTCCATTTCTCTGTATATTTTTCAATCTCTTTCTTCAGCTTTTGTATATAGGTTTTATTGTAGATATCTTTCATTTTCTTGGTAAGATTTACTCCTAGGTATTGTATGTGTATGGGAGCTATTGTAAATGAGATTACATTCTTCATTTCTGTCTTGATCTGCTTATTGTTGATGTACAAAAATCTACAGGTTTTTGCATGTTGATTTTTCACCCTGCAAATATATTGATTTCATTTTACCATATCTAAGTATCTTACTGAATTGATTAGGATTCTTTTCTATGTAAATAATCAAGTCATCTGCAAATAGAGATAATTTACCTTTCCTGTATCATACTCTGGTCAATATCTCAGTAGAGCTGAATCTCAGACTTCCATGTCAGTTGGATTTGAATGGATTTAGGCCCATGGGAGACACTAACAGAAGATTTAAGGCAGTGAGGCAAAATGAGTTAGGAGATTTGCCCTGACCCCTCTCTACTTTGGGCAGCTTCTTTGATAGTGTTGCATATTTTCCATGTTTCTAATTTCTATCAGGAGACTGTAGCTCCTGAGCTCCATTAACACCACTCTCCAGCCAAGCATCTGTCCTGGCTCCTACAAGAGGGTTACCTCACCAACACCTATTTGACACTCAAGTTCTTCATCACAAAAATAACATTATGCTTTAAAAATACTTTAAGTGGCTTCTGATATTCTGCTTAAACCTTGACTTCCCTATGTTATTAACTAACAATATTAATTAGCAATTTAACTTCCAGAGAACTTAATTATGAACTAGGGAGATGTTTATACTGCAATATTTAAAGCTTTGGATAAAGACATTAAATGTAATTCTTTGTTACAACAAAAAATTAGCAACAATATAAATGCCTGTGAATGGGGGATTAAGTTTTAAAAACACATGCTATATATCTACTGTGATGTGTTATACAAGTGTTTGAAACAATATATGATATGAATAATATATATATCAACACATATGGTCTCAAAATAGAGTTACTTAGTAGAGCAAAATGCACATTGGATATGTAAAATAGAATGCATTTACTTGACTTTAAAAATCTCTGAACAATCCTCAGTGTGTGCTCTGCGTACATGTGTATACACAGGTACCACTGTGTGTATTCAATAAAAGTGTTAAAACCCTCAAGTGGATGATACTCAGCACCTTCAGGATCATGTTCACTTTTAGTAAGCACCTCCTCAGAAAGGAAGGGATCATCGGGACAAGCAATGGGCATAACGGCTATGTCGTTGTACTCCCATGTAGTCAACCACAGTTGGAGTACTGGGCCCGGTGGCTTAAACTCATGCCAGGCATGTGTGAGAATCAAGTCTAGGAGAGCTTCCACCAAGATTCTAGACTAATAATCCAAAATTCTTCTCTTTGTCCTCAAAGTCAAACAGATAGAAGAAATTTCTTACAGTTATTTTATTTGCATTTTTTTTGCCTTTTTAGTCCTCCAAAACTATTTTATTCAGTTCCTTATACTAAAGGCTCCCTATGTCAATCACTGGTATGATTTCTATAACTCAGTCTAAAGCCTGACTGGCATATCCACTTCAACTTTCCTTGAATAGATGTCAAATACAGCATTATAAGTAGAACCAGATCAAAAAATTTCTGCATTTGTTTCCTGTTAATCTTGCTGCTTCAAGAAAATGAACTTATTTGAAAAAATTATTTGCCAAAAACAAAAACATTTATTAAGCAATAAGTATGGCATTCCTAGTTCAGAAGAAACAATACACATTGGAGTTGAATTAAAAAGAGTTATGTTTCACAGAATGCTTATGCTAAAAATTCTCCCTGAACAGCTGAGAGAAACTATAACTATTTGACCAAATAAGGTTAGGTTACTGACAAGGCAATAAAATGTTCCTTGATGAACAAACCTGCTGTTAAATGAGGATGACAGGGACACACTAGAGGCAAAGTGAGAAACTCAGAATATTTGGAACAACTAAACAACTATGAGCACTGCCAATTGCTTATGCAGTGCTGATAATGATATTTAATAATTTGCAGTTGTTAATGAATTGCTTTATTTCCACTAGTAAGCAGAGATGATGCTATTTCTTTCTGTAAAGAAGCAATTTAAACCAAGCAATGGACACTTTCTCTTCTTCCTTTTTTTAACAACAGCCACAAAATTCCACACTTGAAAACAAACTAAACTGAATAATTTTTTATCTGATCTTCAGAAATTGTTCTTCTTAAATGAAGTATCCTTATTATTATTGTGTTTATCTAAAGAAAATAGAGATGCCCTTAAGAATCTCCAGCTATTAACCTCTCTTCTGCCACAATCTTCTTACTTAAAAGTTATCTTTTGAGAAACTTTCTTTATTTCTTTCTTTTTTATTCATTTTTTTAGAGGTTTTTGCTATAGGGTGCATGTGCTTGCCAGAAAGACAGAGACAGACAAAGACAGAAAGAGAGAAATCACCCCTCATGGGGGATGGCCTTGCCACAGTCCCTTCTCCTCCATTCTCCTCTAGGGATCTTGGGCATGCACACACGCGCCAGGCGTGAGTTTAAGCCACTCAGTCTGGGACTCAAACCGCGGTTGACTACATGGGACTTCAACCACATAGTCATTACACCAACTGCTGGTCCCTCTTTTGGGAAACTTTCAGCACAAGCATGAGTCTAAACATTTTAGCTGATCTGAAGGGCATTTAACTCTTCTATACAATGACAAAGACTAGAGGAAAAGAGAAAGGATGTTATTTCTTTGTCATGCTAGAATGAAGAATTTTCAGCACAGCTTTGCGTATCTGTTTGGTCTTCACGCTGTAGATGATGGGGTTCATCACAGGGGGAATCAGCAGGTAGGCATTGGCTATCAGAGTATGTACATAGGGTGGGGCCTGTTTCCCAAATCTATGAACAAAGGACAGACTGATCAATGGAATATAGAATATAGCCACAGCCCCAATATGGGAGATACATGTGCCAAAGGCTTTCTTCCTCTCTTCTGAGGATGCGATACTGAGGACTGTCTTAATGATTAAAATATATGAAAGGATGATGAAGATTGAGTCCACCCCAGCAGTGGAGATCAAGACAGTTAATCCAACTGCACTGTTGATCCTGGTGTCTGTGCATGAGAGCTTCATCACGTTGGGGTGGAAGCAGTAGGAGTGGTGGAGCACATGGCTGCGACAGTAGGACAATCTTTTAAGAAGAGCTACCGTTGGTGTCAGCATTAGGGTCCCCCTGGTAATGATTGCTACTCCAGTCTGTACTATTTTAAAGTCAGTTAAGACAGACGCATATCTAAGAGGATTAGAAATGGCCACAAAACGATCAAAGGCCATAGCCAACAGCACTGAAGATTCCATGACAGTGAAAAGATGAATGAAGAACATCTGTGACAAGCAAGCATTAAAGCTGATCTCCCTGGTGTTGAACCAGAATATCCCCAAGATGGTGACCAGAGTGGATATGGACAGGCCGAGGTCGGTGGTGGACAGCATGGAGAGGAAATAGTACATGGGCTCATGGAGGCTGGGCTGAGTGAGGACGGCAAAGAGAATCAGGCTGTTTCCTGAGAGGGCAGTCACATAGAGAAAGCAGAAGGGAATTGAGATCCACGTGTGGAAAGCTTCCAACCCAGGAACACCCGTGAGCAGGAAAATGATCGAAGAGGATGTGATGTTCTGGAAAGCTGGCATATTGAACTCAAGCTGTAGAACCTTAAGCTGAGTGTCCTGCAATCATAAAGTGTATTTATTTATTATGCATTAAACCTGAAATTAATTATTTCTCCAGGTAAACATTCACAAGAGACAATATCTATATTATATTGTATAAAGAGCTCACAAAGGTTGATTTAAAAAGCAAACTTAGACAGTATCAAATAAGCAGAAAACAAAAAATGAACAATTGCATGTAGATAGAGAATGTAGGCCAAAAGAAATGCAGCAGCATGCTATCTTATTTAAGGTCATATATTTGATAAGTTATAAGGCTGAGATTTTAGTGCATCATTTCCTGATTTCAAATGCTAGGTCATCAGTGAATGTTTGTTAACATGTGTTCAAAAGGTTGTATAACATTTTAGATGAATAGTAAATAGTATGTGCAATGATTCTGATACAGTAAATAAGTTACTCGAGCTTCTTGAGGCTGGCTTTTAAAAAATCTTATTTTGTAGATATTTTTGATAGCTCTTCCTCATTTGGTCCCTTCTTTTTCCACGGGTATGTTTTCCACATTTTTCCTTATCTTTTCTGATTCAAAAGATGAACAATTGTTCCATTACAAAGAGCCATAGTACCTAGCCTCTCAATCAATTTTGAATGTAAGTTAGTTTAGCATCAAACATTACTGAATCTTGTAATAGACTACAGAGAAACAGAGTCAAATTAAATATTACACCTGGCCTTGAGAATGTTAAGTAAAAAATAGAATAGTTCAGAAAACAAATGTGTCGGGACCAGCAGTTAGCATAATGGCTATGTCACTGGATTCCCCCATAGTCGACCGCAGGTCGAGTCCCAGACCCAGTGGCTTAAATTCACACCGGGCGTATGTGCGTGCGTGCCCAAGATCCCAAGAGGAGAATGGAGGAGAAGGGATTGCGGCATGGCCATACCCCCTGGGGGGTGATTTCTCGCTTTCTGTCTCTCTCTCTCTGTCTGGCGAGCGCACACGCCCTATAGCAAAAACCTCTCCAAAAAAAGAAAAATAAAAAAAGAAAACAAATGTGTCAACAAACAAAATTTAATTTCATATATGCAATAATAAAATTGTGTTTAAATTACAGAGGTTGTATTTACTAAGAAGTTGGGAGGGAGGGGTTGAAAGGTTTCTCTAAGTAAAGAATAATTGTGCAGAGGTTGGTAGGTGAAAAATCACCCCAAAAGAATTCTAACTAAGCATACCCAAAAATAATGGAGTTTCTGATATTTTTTAAATGTCTCTAAAGTGTGAGCTAAAAATTATTTAAAAGCAGTATTTAAGAAGCAACAGGGACCAAGTCTAGAATTATCATGTCACTTTAAAGGGGTAGTGAATTTGTAGCACCACAATCTATATAAATATATTGATTCCTATCTCGACCTAAACATAACCTAAAACAAAACAAAACAGTCAAAAAAATCTCTTAACCCTGCATCACTATTACATGTATCTGTTTTCCCTCATCAATAACTCATAAAGTGGGGCCAGTCTCATAGCCTAGTGCTTAAGGAAGCCCCACATGGTCAACCACAGTTTGAATCCTAGCCCTTGCAGCTTGAAAAACCTGCTGGATGCTTGTACATAAGTGACCTAAACCCTAAAGCCCTGACCACACCCAGTTCGGAGGTACTTTCTGTCTCTTTTGACAAGTGCATGTGCTCTCCTACAGTTAAAAAATACTAGCTGTACAAATCTGTTATGAGTTTTTTCTTGGTTTGGTTTGGTTTGGTTTGGTTTGGTTTGGTTTGGTTTGGTTTAGTTTGGTTTTGCTCTAAGACATACAGTAAATTGTTAATCATGGTTACCCTGCTATACTCTATAACACGAGAACTTGTCCTTTTTACCTATCCATAATATTGTTTTCATGGAAAGCTGTGAAACTGTGTTTTTCTTGGACAGGAAAAAAAGATTAAATGCCATATGAGAAATTTATTTCATGTTACTTATATTCAAATGCCTTAAAATGCCTGAAATAATATAATATTAACTAGCATCTATGTCACATATTCGAGAGACCTTATTTACAGCTGTAAAACCCATTATCCACCATTTTCCCTAGGTACCCATGGGGACTTTTTGTAGCTAATAAAATCACTCTCATTCTTAAAAGAAACAAGTGTACAAAAAACTAATATTTCTCTTGAATACAGCAATTGTACTTACAAAGTATAGAGATTTGGTTTTTTTCTGCCCCGTTTTCTAGGAAGGAGTCTGAGGAGCTGAGGAGGCTTTCTACCCAGGCATAGGAGGCATATAAAAGAAGCCAGATCTCAAAGTGCCCAAATCCCTTAAGCAGAAAACCCTGATGGAGATTTTGGTGATCCCCAGAGTCTGAAGCTTCCTAAGGGTAATTTCTGCTTTTACTTTGTCACACCCATTTTTAAAGTTCCCATGAAGAGACTAGTGGTGGTATTCTTTGACCTTATGCTCTGATAAAATTTTATTAAAGTTAAGTTTTTGAGTAAAAAACCCTCAAATAAAAAACACCTGCTATATTCATGAGCTTGCCTCTCATACCCACACTATTTTCATACCCAGCTGATAAATTTATCCTCCTCTAATATCATCTTGGTAAATTCTCAAACCCCTTTGCTTCTGCTCTTCAGGCCCAGAACAAATAAAAAGGCTTCCCCTATTCTTTAAAAAAAAAAAATGCGATTTTCTACCACATTCCAGGTTTTTGCAGCAATAGTACAGAGAATAAAGCAGAGTCTAGTCTCTTCCCTCCAAAGTTCACAATCCAGGGAGGACACAGACACAAACTTGATGGTAAAAAGGAAGCACTTGCTCCATTCCAGAAAGCCATAGTATTTAGCCTCTCAATCAATTTTGGATGTTAGTTTAGTTTAGCATCAAACATTACTGAATCTGGTAAGTGATTTAGACTATAGAGATACAAATTGAATATTATACCTGCCCTTGAGAATAGTTAGTAAAAAATAGGATAGTTCAGAAAATAAATATGTCAACAAACAAAATTTAGCAGAGGTTGTATAAATTAAAAAGTTGAGAGGGAGGAATTGAAAGAGTTCTCTAAGGAAAAAATAACTGTGCAGAGGTTAGTTGGTGAAAAATCATCCTAAAAGAATTGTAACTAAGCGTACCCAAAGACAATGGAGTTTCTGATATTTTTAAATGTCTCTAAAGTGAGATAAAACTGCACATATTTATGAGGCGAGTTCAGTGAAACATGCAAAAAAAAGTCATAACCAAATATTTTAGGACTAAAAGGAGCACACAGTATTGAAAACAGGAGATGACTGATCACACGTTCAGTTCCCTGGAACCCTGGGTAGACATGGGGAGAACTCTGGGTAAATGTGGGAAGAACCCTGAGTAAATGTGGGAACGGTGGCAAGAGATGAAGCTAAATAAGGAGGCAGGATCCATGTTAAAGAAGATCTTTCAGGCATTTTAAGGCATTTGAATATAAGTAACATGAAATAAATTTCTCATATGGCATTTAATCTTTCTTCCTTTCCAAGAAAAACACAGTTTCACAGCTTTCCGTGAAGCAACAGAGGAAGTCAAGCACCTTACTTAAGGATCTTTAATATAATGCAGTTCCCTGCTTGGTATCACCATCAACCTGAATAGTTCAAGTCATTTTTCCTTTAAGCAACAATAAAACAATCACACAGAAATATCACTTTAGGAAACAGTCTCAGACAGAACCTCAATGAGCTCAGTCTTGGCAAAACTCCCCCTCACCTACTCTTCCAAATTCTAATTCAGATTAACCAGATGATTATTTTTAGCATTGTTTCAAAGGATCTTGAACAAGCATTGTGTCCCAAAGACTCTCAGTGAAAGCAAAACATAGACTTCTGTATTTGATAATGTTGAATTCAGAACCTAAATCAGCTAGTAGGAAAAGTAAAACATATAGCACATAAGAATAAAAGGAAATAAAAGTTTACTTAAATAATTTTATGTAAATGTATCACTTTACAAAGAGATTTTACTGATTTATACAAACTATACTACACAAAACCATGTTATTGATACTTTGTGAATTATCTTTTTTTTAATTGTAGTATCAGTTAAAATTGTTATTTTCACAAAAACATTCTCTACTACATTTGTCTTAAAACACACCCAAAATTATGGTGTAACATGAAATAAATTTCTCATATGGCATTTAATCTTTCTTCCTTTCCAAGAAAAACACAGTTTCACAGCTTTCCGTGAAGCAACAGAGGAAGTCAAGCACCTTACTTAAGGATCTTTAATATAATGCAGTTCCCTGCTTGGTATCACCATCAACCTGAATAGTTCAAGTCATTTTTCCTTTAAGCAACAATAAAACAATCACACAGAAATATCACTTTAGGAAACAGTCTCAGACAGAACCTCAATGAGCTCAGTCTTGGCAAAACTCCCCCTCACCTACTCTTCCAAATTCTAATTCAGATTAACCAGATGATTATTTTTAGCATTGTTTCAAAGGATCTTGAACAAGCATTGTGTCCCAAAGACTCTCAGTGAAAGCAAAACATAGACTTCTGTATTTGATAATGTTGAATTCAGAACCTAAATCAGCTAGTAGGAAAAGTAAAACATATAGCACATAAGAATAAAAGGAAATAAAAGTTTACTTAAATAATTTTATGTAAATGTATCACTTTACAAAGAGATTTTACTGATTTATACAAACTATACTACACAAAACCATGTTATTGATACTTTGTGAATTATCTTTTTTTTAATTGTAGTATCAGTTAAAATTGTTATTTTCACAAAAACATTCTCTACTACATTTGTCTTAAAACACACCCAAAATTATGGTGGCCCCATCTTCAAAATTCTTCTTTTTCAAAATTTTCTGAGCATCTGTGAAGTTTAAATCATTTAAGTTTGCATTTTTATTGCTTAGAAATGAATGCATATTGTGTCTCCTAAATTTCTAGGAGTCGTATTTTTCATCAGGTTAAGTATTTCCTGGGTTAGTTATTTTACCTTCGTTTTGACTCTTTTTTTTTTTTTCCCC